TTATTTTCTGGCTTGGTGGCCTTGAAGACTGATCTCTACACAACATAGTACTTGGGCTGTTTTGTCCTCTGGCTTCCAGCTAAGTCTCACAAACTGAGAGATCAGCACAAAACGTATGAGACAAGGGTGTTACTGCCCCCTTGCACCCTCAGTTAGAGAAGTGGCTGAGTTCTTCTCAGTCCTTTCCAGCCATTTCAGCTCCTTGAGGAAACCAACAACGTCATTTCCTACTCTTTTCCCATTCTCTCTGTGGTGTCTCAGATTTAGGAGAATTAACTCGTTTCAGAGTTGCTAGTCACTGGGTACTTTCCCATTCCTCACTGTCTATGGTTGCAGGACACACACTCCCAGCCAGAATCAGTCTCTTTATTGAAATATGATCCATTAAGCTCCTTTGGCTTACTCACTATTTCCTTACTTCCAGAACACAGTGGTCTAGTGCCTCAGCTGGAGAACTTCCTCTCTGTCCCGCGTAGAGCAATCCTCTCCCTTGCTGGGACTTAGTTCACCTGATGCTGCCGCTGCCCTGAATGCATGGGTGGCCTATGAGCATCTATCAAGATAGAATTGTGCATCTGTAAATTGCTTCTTGATCTGTACCGTGCTACATTGTGAGTTACTCAAAGACAGAGCATTTTCACCCCTTCATATTTTCAGAGCCCATCACAGTGCCTGGAGCACAGAGTTTTTGATAAATTCTGATTAAGTAAACACATAAAATGATAATTAATATAAGGGAAGGCTTTGCACAGAGGGAGGGTAGTGGGCAATCATTTGAGGCATCTTTGGCCTTTCATATAAAATAAAGATTAAGAAATATCTAAATTGATGATTACTTAGTAGTCATTTTCTTTTCTGTGGCAGCAATATCTACTTGAGTATAGTTTTGTTGTTCAGAGTTGTATTTAAGTGAAAAGAACGGAGAGGAACCAGACTAACTACTCCTTGACAAATATCCAAATTAAAAAGACTTCTCTCCATGGAGCTTTTCCAAAGAACAAGCAGGGAATGGCTTGTTTTCTTCACTTGGCATCTCCAGCTTTCCCCAGGGTGGAGTCACCGGGCTGATGAACAGCAAGAGGCCCTGGAAACCACTTGTTCACGTTCGCTGGTCTGGGAGCCACTTCTGCTACTCCCCTTAGGAAACTCTTTATTCAGGTGCATCTGTGTCCGTCCTTAATCTGTGTTCCTGTTGTACTGATACAATAAAATCAGAATTGAGTTCGTGCAGCCAGTTTTATGAAATAAATAAATCTAAGATTCAGGGGCTCAAATCATGAATACAATGTAAATTCTGTTCTCTTTAATTTATAATTTTACCTGTTTCTTTTCGGTTATGATTTACGCAGCTATGGGCGTTTGATCACAGACAATTGTCTATTTGAATGGATCTCCATCTTTCTCTCCTATGCTCTCTCTCCACTTCTCCCCTTTCCTCTCCCTCCCTTCCTCTCTCCCCTACCTCCCTCCTCCCAATTCAGTGTCTAGGATTCCCCTTTCTGAATTATAGACCAATCACATCTATTTATTATTAATAATTTATCACTAGCCCTTAACAATTCAGCAGGTGATAGATAACCTGGCCCACAGAAGCTCTAGACCAAAGACTGGCAAACTCATCTTCTGCAAAGGTTTACCTAGTAAATATGTGGGGCTTCATGACCAATATAGTATCATTTGTAACTATTCAGCTCTATTTTAATAGTAGAAAATAATAAATAGATGTGATTGATCTATAATCAAACATGGATCTTTGTGTTTGTGTGGCAAGCACTTTGATTCCTGAACTATCACTCCAGCCCTAAATTCTTTATTTATGAACCTTACATTTTTTTTAAAGACAAGTTCTCTCTAGTATGCCGCTCTAGTTGTTCTAGAACGCACTGTGTAGATCAGGCTGGCCTTGAACTCACAGAGATCCTCTTGCCTTCCGAGTGCTGGGATTAAAGGCACGTGCTCCCATGTCTTGTCCATTATATTTTATTGTTATCACGGCCTCATGGCCTAGTTTACTGTAGGGTACATGAACTTGGAAGATGTGTATCCATGAATTTTTCTTTATTCATGTATTTATAGCAATAAACAATGAGATAAAGCAAAGTATTTTAAACTTTTATTTTATTTTCCTTTAGTTTTTAGAGTCTGATGTAGCTCAGGCTGGCCTCAGACTCCCTAAATGACCTCAAACTCTCTAGGACAAGCTTGAACTTCTCATCCCCCTCCTCCACTCCCAAGTGCTGGGATTACAGGTGTGTGCTACCATGTCTTGTATATGTAAAGCTAGAGACCCAATCTAGGGCTTCATGCTAGGCAAACTGCCAACCAAACTAAATCTCCATACCTTATATTTGGCCTTATCTCTTTCTCAGGAAGGTGTTTGTTTGTTTTTTAGAGGGTTGTTTGCTTGTTTTCATTTTAGGCGTTTCAAGTGCTCATCAGTTAGATTTGAAGAATCAAACACTGAAGTTCTATAAAGAGGTGTTTGTATGTCTTGTATTCTTTGTGATTCCAGACCTATGCATCTATAGCTTAAAATCTTTCCTTCTATCTTATAAGGTTCTTCCAGGCGGGAAAGATGTTTTTAATAGGTTGCGCGCGCGTGCGCGCGCGCACACACACACACACACACACACACACTAATAATAAAAAAATATATATATTTTTTAAAAGATAAAAACCTAACTTTGCAAAACTGTAAAGCAAGCATGTAGAAAAATTTACTGAATTCATTAATGAGGTAACAGAAGGTTCTAACGCAGAGATTATGCTAGGTTTCATGTCAACTTGACACACACTAGGATCATCTGGGAAGAGGGAAACTCAACTGAGAAAATGCGGCTATCAGATTGGCATCTGGGTAGGTGGTTCTGAGGTATATACAAGAAAGCAGACTGAGCAAGGCAGGAAGAGCAAGCCAGTCAGCAACACTCTGCTGGGGTCTCCGCTTCAGTTCCTGCCTCCAGGTTTCTGCCTTGAGTCCCTGCCCTGACTTCCCTCACTGAAGGAGCGTGACCTGAGAGCTGCAAACCGAAATAAACCCATGTGACTTTTGGGTACGGTGTTTTAGCACAGCAATCGAAACCCCGAGACAGGCAGTGAAAGAAGGCTGATTGCTGCACGAATTCTAATTGTTCTTAATAATGAAAACTTGAGTCAGCTCTCAGGGGTGAAAGTTGGACAGAGAAGCAGTGGAGTTGGCCACTAGGAAGGCCTTGTACCTCCTCCGAATCCTCAGACCGAAGGGGCGATCCTGTCTCCACCAACCCTCATACTGCCTGCTGCATGCTGCACCCTCAGACTGCATCCTCAGACAGGCTGCTGCTCAGGCTGCGGCCTCAGACTGCGTCTGAGCTCCTGTCTCCTCCCACCTTGTATTCCTCTCTGCCCAGCCATATCACGCCTCTCTCCACACCCAAGTGCTGGGAATTAACGGTGCGAGCCAACACCGCCCAGCTGTTTCTCTTTTAGACTGGATCAATTTCGTGCAGCGCGTGGTAGCCTTGAACTCACAGAGATCCATCAGCCTCTGTCTCCTGAGTGCTGGCATTAAAAGTGTGTATCACCACCACCCAACCTCTATGGCTAACTAGCAGTTTAGCTCTGCACTGATTTTTAGGCAAGCTTTATTTGTTAGATTACAAACAAAATATCACAGCTGACACGAATGGCTGCATTACACAGATTTTTTTTAATGATTGCGGTCGTCTGGAACAACTCAGTCGGAAGCACCGAATTTTGATTTTCTTCTATACAGCAATCATGCTTTTCTTCTTGCTTTCAACCCATTTACATCGCTGTCAGTATTTCCAACCTTGACACCCTCCCTGGCAGGATGTTTAAAGTCTTATCAACAGTAAAATTAAGCCATAATTATTGTTAATGCTATTAGAGGATTAAAACTTATTTATTAGGTCAGAAAAATGAAAAGATATTTTCTTCCTGATTTCTAAAACCAGGAACAAGCTGGGAGGTGGTATTGCATGCCTTTAATCCCAGCAGTCGGGAGGCAGAGGCAGGAGGATCTCTGTGAGTTTGAGGCAGCCTGGATTACAGAGCAAGTTCTAGGACAGGCTCCAAAGCTACAGAGAAACCCTGTCTTAAAAAAGCATAAATAAAATAAATAAATAAAACCAGAAACAATTGATATCTCGCTCATTGTTTGATTAATATTATATGATGTCAAGGCTAGAGAGGTGGCTCAGTGGTTAAGAGCGTTGACTACCCTTGCAGAGGTCATGAGTTCAATTCCCAGCACATGGTGGCTCACAACCATCTGTAAAGAGATCTGGTGCCCTCTTCTGGCCTGCAGGCAAACATGCAGACAGAACACTGTATACATAATAAACAAAATAAAATAAAAAATTATATGATGCCAAGCCAAGTTACATTAAGTTACTTTGAGTCTATGTTTATTTGTATTTGGACACAGTATATATTCAACAGATAATTATGAAATGAATCTAAAATCCTTTATTTATTTATTTGGAGACAGGGTCTTACTATGTAGATCTACTGGCCTTCTACTTGCTATATAGGTGGAACTGGCTTTGGAACGCACTGAGATATGCCTGCCTCTGTTTTGAGAGTATTGGGATTAAAGACGTGCGCTCAGCAAAGAATGAAATTGTTTTAAATCAGAACGTATTTGTCTATCCTGGTCCACATAACTAACAAGCCGTCTTACTTGCTCCTGCTCATGAAGGTATATGGAGTGATGAATGAATGGACCGCGGAATCAAACCAACACAGTTCGTGCTTTAGCTCTTTCTCCTTGTGTCTTGGCACCACCCTGTTTAAAACGGCTCTTTAAGCCTCAGTGAATGTGATGTCATTGCAGATCTAAAAGCGGTTACTGCATCATGCTAAATTGCAGGGAAGCGCTAATTCTTTAAGCGCAATTATTGTGACGTCACTGCAGAGCTGAAAGCGGTTGCTGCGTCGTGTTAAACTTTGGGGGAGCACTAACTGACCTGGGTTCACCGTCTCTCTGTACGACACAGGTGGTGAAGTTTACCAAATCCTTTGAACTGATGTCCCCAAAGTGCAGCGCCGATGCTGAGAACAGGTAAGGCCCCTGGGCTTCATGCTTGTCTTCTGACGCGCTGTGGTCCTTGGCGTTTGCGGAACTGCATGATTCTCTGCGGACAGGAGTTGCCCTTTCTCTGCGTCATCAAGTGCAGCCATTTATCACTCTGTGGAATGTCAGAATTTAAATAAAAGCTATTGCTGAATAGTGAGTGTATAAAGAGTACATCTCCTTCGTTGTGTGTTTTTAAGACAAACTTAAGACTAGGGATGGTGGTACTAGCCCCTTAGCCTAGCTGCTTGGGAGGCTGAGTCAGGAAAACCCCAGATCCAAGACACACCATGGCTGCAGAGGTGGAGCAAGGTCAGCCTGGGAAACTCAGTGATTCCTGTCTCAAAAAAAATCCTGAGACGAGGGCTGAGGGTCTAGTTCAGTAATAAAGCACTTGCTGGAGAGTGCATGGAGTCTCTGGGTTCACTGTTAGTACCGAGAGAGAGAGAGAGAGAGAGAGAGAGAGAGAGAGAGAGAGAGAGAGGTAAAACTGAAATGTAGTACTTGTGATGTGGTTATAATCTTGCCTGTGGACTTTATAGTACCCCTCTCTCCTGAAGGAGATTGGATTTTTTAAAATATGTATTAATGCCTTGAATCTTGGATAACAGCTACTGTGTTAGTTACTTCTCACAACACCAGACAAAAGCAACTGTAAAAGGAAGGAAGGGTTTGTTCTTGCTTATGGTTTGAGTGTAAATCTGTAAGGACGGGAGAGTCGTGGTGGCAGATGCAGGAGGCAGCTGGTCACATCCCATTCAGTCAGGAAGCGGAAGCAGAGTCATGAATGGGCTTACTCACCTCAGTTCCAGGGATCTGGCACCCTCTTATATGTACCTTGTGACTAGGTGTGTACGCAATATACATACATACATACATACATACATGTAAGCTATTCACTCATTTTCAGAAAATAAAAACTAAATTTTTAAAAGAAGAAAGAATGATGTATTGTTGAGAAGTGACAAAGGAGCTGTTGACCACAGGGCCATCAGTTATAGGAAGGAAAGCACACGGAGTCAAGAAAGCTTGTGACGTGAATTCCTCTGGCCCATCTCCTGGCCCATAATGGTTTCATGTTGTCTAACAGGTCAACTTTTGTCCTTCTTCCTAATGACAGGAGGGAAGATACCCTTGTAAATGTATGCCCTACTTTATGACAGAGAGCTTTTCTTGGATCCGCTTCTCAATTTTTTTTTTCAGCACAAAATAATCCTGTGGTACACAGCACATTTTTGTGTGACACATTATTGTCTCCTATAACAACCAGCTCATTTACGGAAAATGGGAGGTAGATCTCAGGGAAAGCTCTGGATGTGGGAAGACCTCTATCAGGTCTTACAGGACCTAACTAACCTCCAGAGGGGTGAGATGCCATCAGCAGGGACTTTGCGAGAGAGGAGAGCCTGAGGGAAGCATTGCATGTGTGAGCGTGGGGGCTGTGAGCTGGTGTCACACGGATCATCATTATTGCTAGCGATGGTCCCTAATTCCTTGTCACGTCCAGCTGCCCGGGATGCCATCAGACTGAGATGAGAATCCTACCGGGTCCTTCTGCTCTGCTCAGAGCCTCCTAATGAGAAAGCAGCGTGCTCACCGAGGAATAACAATGGGCAGTGATGTGATGAAGTCTAGATAGAAAAATCATGTGGGCTAGAATGAAGAAGGACTACAGGACGGCAAACTTAGAGCACCACTAAGTCCCGCACGGAGCAGAGTCTTCTGTGGAGGTCCTCCATAGACACCCCCCCACACACACACTTGACGTCGTCAGATCATTCCACTCACTATTTCTGGATGCATTAACAGGAAAACTCTACTGTGACCACCATAACGTCATAACGTCAACGCTTAGTAATTAATCAATAAATACTTAGTGAATGAATGATTTAATGACATTGAAAATTGGGCTGGTGACTACCGTCCTGGGTGGCAGCTGTGGCATAGTTACTGCCCCATAGCTGGTTGTATTGCCACTTTGTGTATTGTACATTGTTGGTGCTACATGGCTGGGTTAAATGTGGGTTAATAGTTTCAACAAGATTGCACAATAAGGGGATGGAGAGATGGCTCGGTGGATGAAAGCAATTGCTGCCTTTACAGAGGCCCTACATTTGGTTCCCCGCACCCACATGCTGGCTTCTAATCATCTGTAACTCCGTATCCAGGGAATCTGGTGCCCTCTTAAGGTTCCATGAACACAAGGTGTGCAAACAAATACTCATATACATAAAATAATACATAAATAAATCTTGGAAAAGATGATTCTATGTCTTGACATTGAAATGAAAAGTTACTGTTTTATGCAGAAGCACATGAGCAAAGGGGAGAGTATTTGCCAGGAACACCTGAGGACAGAGCTGAGATCCCCAGCACCCACATAGACGCCAGCCCGGTGTGATGGGACCATCTGTACTCCTCGGACTTTGAAGACAAGGATGGGATCCCCAGAGCAATTTGGCTGACTAAGCTAGCCAAACCACGGCACTCTGAGTTGAAGTGAGAGATCTTGCCTCAACGGATAAGATAAAAAGCAACTTAGGGGAGAACTAATTCTTTCTTTCTTTCTTTCTTTTTATTTATTTGTTTATTTGTTTTTGTTTTTTCAAGACAGGGTTTCTCTGTGTAGTCCTGGCTGTCCTAGAACTCGCTCTGTAGACCAGGCTGGACTCAAACTCACAAAGATCCGCCTGCCTCTGCCTCCCAAGAGCTGGTAATAAAGGCCTGTGCCACTGCTAGAAAGGGCCAGTTCCCAATCTCTGGGTTCCCATACATACACATGCACTCCCCACATAGTCATGCATGTGAATACTCACACACACGTGCAACCACACCACATGCACATTAAAAAAAAAATCCCCCAAGCAACAAAACCTACATAAACAAGAAGAAGAATACAATTTGATAGGAGTGGTGAAAATATTTCTGTTGAAAAACTAGCCACAACCCAGAGCAGTAACTAAAGAAGGAATTCCAAAGTAAATGAGGAGATGATCTTTCGCTACTCAAATACCAACAAAACGACCCACTACCGCATGCCAAGTCATGCATTTGAAGACAGAAGAAAATGGCCAATTTCTCACCATAAACAAAAAAATTTCAAAGTAGAGAGAGCCTGGTGTGAACAAATTCATGTATTTTGCAGGGCTGCTATTAAAATGTGGAAAAACAATTTCTCAAAAAAAAAAATCTAATTGGAAGCCGCTTCCTTTCCAGTGGCAAGTAATTGAATTGAGGAGAGAAAAGGAAGGTTTGAATTTCATTAGAGAGGAAATGCTGAGACAGCCTTGCTGTCTGTTGACATGCTTGTCAATGACAAGGGTGCTAAAACAACACGGGTCCCCAAATGAAACGTTTCATTGTGATGGCATGAACGATGTCAGGCTGTCTAACTTGCCAATGTGCTTCATTTTCCACAGTGGAGTCACCCCGAGTGTGCCAGGCAGAATTTGTCCTCTTTGGCACCTTACCCCTTGTCATCATACCTCTATGGTGGATTGCAAGGGTGAGGAGGCTTTGCAGATGGAATAGAGGGTACGTTCAAGTGAGGAGGTTACGCTGGGCTCTCTAGATGAGCCACGAAGAGCAATGTTTTCAGCCAGGTTGGGACAGAAAAGAAGCCAGAGAGAAAGCAGAAGGAGAAGTCAAGGATTTAAAATGTGAACTGAAGGACCAGGAGCTGGCATGGTCATTGAAATGAGGACCAGGTACTTGGGACACTGAGGGAGCTGGAGGCCAGCATGGCCTTTGATATGCTGATGGGTTCCCAAGATGGTCATATGGCCCTTCTGCCAGAGGTAAAGGGAACGACTCCTTTTGGCAGGGGGGAACTGGCTGCACAAATTCCTGAGGAAGGTTGGCTTTTCTATAATAGCCTCAAATCTTCCTACAGTGTAGGTTGAGCTCATTTCTGGATATTTGGCCTGCCTGCGACCTAGCATTCAGGAAAGCATACAGCCTTGGCAACATCTTGATCATGGCCTTCTCTAAGAACCCAGACAGTGAGTTCAGCTGAGGTGGGAATACATACGTCTTAGCCTGAGACAATTTAGGGTTTCCTCCAGTTTTAATGTTGGAATTATAGCTCTGCTACTCTTTCCTCTGAAAGAAAAAAAGATTGTTTGCCACACGACTTTCTTGAGCTCCATTTCTCAGGTCAGAATATTAAAACCAGTGTTTCAACGTTTAGGGAAGTAGCTGAAATTCTTTGTTGCAATTTAGTTTTGCCAACAAATGACTCCTTCTAACAACTATTTTAATCCATCTTAATTAATTAATTATCTCTGTAACTCTCTCTTTTGGACCTCCAGACTCCATGGCCCAGATTCTGTCATTTTTACAGAGAAGTTGTCTTCCAGGATGTGTCTCTGATGACTCAAAGCTTCATGACAACCTTGCTAGTTCCTCCAAAGGTCTTTATAAAGACATTGGATATCTGGGTAACCATCCTTTGTTCTTGTCCAGCATGGATGGCAGAACCAGGAAAAAGCTTGCGGGAGACGTAACCCTAAGAAAACGAAAAGAGAGGGGCGAGGGTTTTGATTATCCCTGAGTATACTGTGATTACAGACTGTAATCATATTGCACTTTATAACCAAAACGTCATTGGCCCACAGGGGAGAGTTGTTAGCACCCAGTCAGATTATGGCTATGCTCTGGGCCTGGAGGAGGAGACCACCAACTCTACAAGGCCAAGGTGACTCACCCAGTTGGACATTATCATGCCAAAGTATGCTTCAGGGAAGCAGAAATGGCTTTTGAGAATGTCACTAAATGTCTGTACTGTGAACTGTGATGGGACCAATGCCTTTGGGTACGCCTCAGAATATGACTTTCAGACTTTGAAAAATGTGGTCCCCAACAACAAAAATTTATCTAATTATCAGCTGGCTATTAAACTAACTGAAGAGAAATTCTAGCTGCTGTACGATGGAGACACTTTTCAAAATTAGTTTAGGGGAGTCACTTGACAACAAATAGCACCAAGA